TAATTCATGCATATTATGATGCTAACCACATATAAAATAATAATTTTTGATGCAAAAATTACGTGTCTAAATTTATTCTGCACAACAAAGACAAATTCTCACACTGTTTAACGCGAGATCTGCCGAGAATCGATGAAGCGTTGCAAAACTTTAAAACAAGAGAACAAATGTCATACGTCATTTGTAAATGTCATTGTTTTGTTTTATTAGCCCGCGCTAGAAATTAATGGATTTTTGTACTGTTTTCAGAAAAACACACGAATTTTATTCATTATTTATATAAATATACATATAACTAATTGTAATTCGTCTAGTGTAAATATTAGTAAGGCGAGCGGGTCTAGGATCTCTTAAGTTAAGAGGTTAAAAGTACGCCAGCATTTTTAATTCTCTTAACCATTACGAAGCTTGCCTGGCAACGCTTACGAGAAAAAGTTAATGCTTAAGGTTAATGTTAAGACGACTAATTTGTTTCTGACAACGGCGCCCCAGGGCGTAAGAGTGAGGTATCGTACCGTCATGTTATTCCGCGCTCAGTCTGTTTCCGCGCCCCATCTTGAAATCGAATGTCTCCTGCGGAGATTTTCGGGATGCTGCTTGACGTCACAACCCGGAGATTTGACAGCACCAGGAACAAGTCACGGCATACTGAACGAAATGCTTTCGTATCAACGTGAAAAGCGTAAGATTTAAACTGATGTTGATGCCCAAAAGATACATAAATACCCCCTGCCCCCCACAAGTCCATTTATTGTCCATTTATAAAAAGTCTGCAGAAAAAGAAATACGGCTCGGAAAAATTCACTCTGAACGCCGATCATTTCCGTATCCATAGACGCTTGCGGTCACGTGATCGAAATGAGTTGCCCGGGGTGACTCAAAGAAAATACGAATGCCCAATTGAACCGCAAACGCATTTCTTATACAAAATAACAGAAACGTCGATTGAATGAAACAAGCATACTATTTACATGTAGGTGCCTGTAGACGCAAAATACCTTTCAACGTAGACGCAATTTTTCTATACACTTATAAACAGTATGTTGCCTGTTGTCAACATTTATGTACAACATATATAAATAATATGAAATGATTGATTGTGGAGAAAAAAAAGATAAACAAATAATTCATGATCAATATATATATAAAAATCAAATGATTGATATTACCAAAAATATTGATAAATAAACAAATAATAATTCAAAAAATAATATAGCTAGATGAATGCAATAGAAATGCTCATGCCAAAATAAATAATTAAATAATAAAATAGATGAATGCTAATTGATAAATAACTAAATACTAAATGTTTAAATTGAAAAAAATACAGTTCTGAAGCAACGATGAATGAGGAAAAATTTTTTTCATTGCCAGTCTTTCCGAAACCATCTCACCAAGTTTCGGACAAGATATTCACTGCTTACTGTGACAAAGGCTTAACCGCCTAGCATCATTGTAAGACGGGAATGGCTATTAAAGAGCTGCGCGAGGCTATCTTTTGGCGCTACCGGAGAGTCCAACATTGCTGACAGGGGTTAAAGCAGTAGTGGATATTGATACCATGCCCTCATGACCACCGCCACTGCCTTCACACAAGATGGAAGAGGTCAACTTGCATTGACCACGCTGAAGAGTCTTTGGCCAGCGTTGTCAATCTTTAGCTTTTTGATGCAGTAGTGTAATTATGCGCAACATAAATAGCAGATAGCAGTGAGAGTGCAAACTAACTCGTAAACTCCATTATCTACCACGGCCCGAGACATGTCTATTGTTCACATATAACGGATCCTCTACTTAGCCAGAGTCAACGCTACGCATAGAGCCGCTATATATGTTACATCCTTGTCTCCTTTATAAAAGAAAACTATTAAACACTAATTACGTGACCATTACTCAACAAACAAACATTACAGAGTCTCGACAAGAAATCTCTGCTTCCGCATTTCGTATAGAAGTAAAGATATACCATTCATCTTGAGTACATTAATGAAATCAGTCTTGCCCACTTGCCTTCAAACTGTCTGACTCATCTAAACACAACTTTCTAGTTAAACTGACTCGAATATAACTTGTCATGTCTGCGCCTACTTTGATTAATGATTGGTTCATCCTAGCGACTGTACTTCTCACAGAGTTAAGTTTGACCGGTTTGTAACCTTCCTGCCCACATCTCGACGACAACCCACTGGAGTGCGCTTGTCGCATGTCTTCAACTCAGATTGGGGTCTTTGGGAGCGCGACTGCCTGCGCATATTGGCCTGTCAGCGTGCCAGAATGATGCCAGCGGCAGCTCCTTGGGGAGAACTCGCGAATTGTATCCGGTGCATGCGCCAGAGGTCCTCAACTCCTGCACATCCAGTAGCTGCTGTGCTTCCTCTGCGATTTCCGTTTATGATGACGTCGGTTACGCCGCAAGCATCCTTCCGCCGATTCGTTTTCGACGTTGTACGCATCGTCGTGGACAACCTCTTGTTGCTACTGGTACCTTGTTGTCCACTCTTTCTGTCCTTGCGAAGGTGCAATACGCAACAGTGTCACCCACCGTGGCGGTTCTAGGTTTCTTGCCGCCACATTGTAAAGAGCCCGCCTGGTTCTCCTTACTCGCCTCTAGTTGACGAGCACAGCCATTTCGGAATCTGTACTGGTTTTAGTAGAGTTGCCTTTCATTGGCAGTAGCGCTTGAGTGCGCACGGTTCATTAACCGTTGAGCTGCCGACTGCTGTTCCATAGGACTGCCCGCAGGGGTATTGCGGAAGTCAGAAGCCAGCAGTAAATCAGTTTTTGAAACTTTCGGCTAGGTGCATAGCGTTTTGGCTGTCTTCACACCCTGTGTCGCTTCCCATTGCTTTTGCGGCGTAGCCTGGAGATGATGTCACATGATCAAATCCCCATTCTCTCAGCGAATACTGCGAAATTCCTCCGCACTGACTCGTGCGCGTTGTCGCTGTATTACCGTGTTCTGGTACACCGTGCCGTGCCAAACTGAGCCACGCACTTCTTATCACGTCGACGACTTCGTATCTGCGGAGATAGTCAACTTCCAGAATTTAGAGAAATAGTCATCACGTTATGAGGTAGTTTTTCTCATTTGTAATCCGCGAAACAAATCACACCCGACCTTTGACACGCGTTGGTGTCGGTATGT